CTGTTAGTTCTATTGTCTATATATATTCTGCTGACTTCCTATTAGCATGCATTTGTCTCGGTTTATTGTTATTACTTATTAATGCAATTTGGACGAAAATGCTTATTGGAATATTTCTTAAACTATGATATTTTCCTGAATGAATTATTTGAGCAGTAATTTCAAAATGATTAAAATAAGGAGAGCTGATATATTTTGTCCGTGATTTTATTTTCCTATTATTGTTCTGGCTTCCCCCACTCCTTTCCTGTTTCACGTGAGTGAACTTTGAGGCAATTGTGTTTCTTTACAAATTAGAGTTGTTATTAAATTCATTGAACAACTGCAGGTTGTCCTTGGGGAAGAGAGGTTCCATGGGATTTCCAACATGTCATTTGGTATCACTTTGGCAAGACCAGCATTGATGTTCGACATAAAAACCATCCTTTCACTGTATACAGGTTTGCTTTCTCTAAGTTCATATGCACTTGCTGAAACATGCGGTGCTCTGATGCCCTTTCATTATCTGTGATTCGGTTGCTCCGACTTACTGTTCTGTTTCTACAGGTGAAGCAAAATTTGCACATAATTTGCAAACTTACCTGCTATCAAGAGATCATTCCAATTTGAAGTCTGAGTTTCAAGATGGAAATGGAAAGGTTTGATCGAGTTCTAATCCCATATTTGTTGTCTTGTGTGAAAGTGTATATTCATTTTGTCTCCTTGGTGCAGAAAATTGTTGATTCAATTGAACAGCAACCTGATGTAGGAGTGGTTGTCGGTGAGCATGTCTTTCTCACTGTGGGGGACTATTACCTTACTAGAAAATCTGACTGATTTGGTTGAAGTGTACCTTTTTGATCTTTTATCCAGTTGATATGCCATCTGTTTGCAAGATTAGGAAGACGGAATATACCCCAGGCGAGCCCATTTGTAACGGTTGGCAGTTTACAATCATTATTCTTTTACTGTATAGAGGATCTCACATCTTATTTAAAGATAAAAACAGGCGTCTTGATGTAATCCTAGATAATATAAAGTCAATTATTTTGTGGCACTTATTTCCTTCGATTGGTTTATTTTTATAAGCGTGACGTTATTTTTCTCAGTTCGATAGTGAGGTGCTTTCATTCAGCGCACGGTTTGATCGGCTGGCTTGGGATATGGTAGTATTTAGTTCATTCTACACTGTTATTAATCAAAAAACTAAACTACTGTGGTATTACTAGGTTGTCTTTTTATTGGTATTGGATAGTTATTGTTAAACCTATCTCAGCGGTATATGTACGAAATTGCTAGTGCACAATCACCAGACGGTTCGAAGGGGTGATTGTAAAAATGCCATACTCTTGCGTTTTTTGTCTTTTAGTTGTTCAGCATGAAATTAATCCTTCCTTGGACACCACCGATTAGGCCTTCGGCACCAGGTGTGAATTCGCTTTTATATTGCATAGCCCACATGCAGTGCGCAATGTGTGCCTACATTGAATTAGAACATTAGTATAAGTTTAATAAATTTAATTGCCACTACCTTTTTAGAAGTAATTTAGCTAAGTTTGTTTAATATTTTCACTCTATTTCTGTGATCCAGGACAGTTTTAGAATGATGAGACAATTATGTGAACATTTTTTTGGATTTGTAGATTCTAAGCTTGGGCACGATAATAAAAATAAATATTTTCAGTATGTGTTTAATTATTGGATTTATGGCTTCAAAGCTGAGAATAAGCGAATTCAACGGTGGTAATAAGGAGCAATTATAAAAGTTAAAAGATTACAATCATTTTTTTAAAAAGTTTATCAACTCAACTAGAAGCAGCTTCCTTATAATTCTCTGCCTCAATAGTTTCACCTTCATGTAAACTTGGAGCTTTTGGTAGAAGCCCAAGAACTTTGAACATGAGTTGATCAGCATCAAAATCGTTGTTGGGTGTAGTGAGAAGCTTTTCACCAGTGAATATAGAATTTGCACCGGCAAGAAAGCACAATGCTTGCTCCGGCATGGAGAACCGAACTCTGCCAGCTGACAACCTTACCATAGCTTTTGGCATTACGATACGCGCCGTCGCTATCATGCGAATCATCTCCCATATTTCAACAGGCTGAAAATATCGTAGATACCTTTCAGGCTTATAGACAATTCAAAACAGTGTAACAGTAATTTGTGTAAACTGATATCTAAGGCAGAGAAGCTGATATGTTTGAGGCAATTCCTCATCGTTTAAAATCAGCGTTAACCACCAAGCCTAATAGCAAAATAGTTCAGACAGAAAGTTGATGGCTGCTAGTTAATAATGTTCATGGGCCATTACATCCTACCCAAGATACTATATACAGTCATTAAAATGTTCAAAGGTTAGGGAAAAAAAGACAAATGAAAATTCTAAATAAATAATAGCTGACCCACAAAACCAAGCTTCTATCACATAAATCTATGAACAGCACCAATCATTAAAGCATGACAAGATTTATCATCCTCCCACAGATTATTTAGGTTCCAACTCCTCTTTTACATCATTATCATTCAACACCATACCACAAGAAATTGTCATTGGCTGATAATTGTTATGTGTGTAATACAAACTCACTCTCTACCTGTCACCTTAACACATAATTTTACAATTTAGACTCCACCAAATCTTAAAAGTTGTCTCCAGAAAGGTTAATTTTATAATTCAAACAGTTTAACGTGCTTTCTTGTCCTCCTGTCATAAACTATTGTACACAATCAGAAATTAAGCTCCATTAAGATGACTAGCACTTCTTCACTGTTATATAATTTATATTAGTTTAGTCTAACAAATCGAGCAGTTTAATAAATTCACCTTCTGATCCTGTAGAGGGGTTCCCTTTACAGCAACGAGTGCATTAATAGGAACACTCTCTGGATGGGTTGGAAGTGTTGACAATGTATGTAACAAACCTACACGGTCCTCCTCTGCTTCTCCAAGCCCTATAATTCCTCCTGTAAACAATTCTCAGTTCGTCAGATTACCATGGAAAGAAACAAACCCTTGTCATAGCAATGAGATTTTCTTGTATAGAGACCATTTATTCATCAATAATAATAGTGGAAAGGCTCATTATAAAAACTGACAGACAGGGACCTTGAAATATAGTAAATAATTCAGGTTAATTTTGAATAGAGAAGAAGAAAACATTACATTTGATAGCTGGGGATGTGATGGGTGCGAGTCTTTAAATAACTATTGGTCATCCATAATATGTCTACTTAAAAATAGCATCAAGTGATAGGAATTATGCCATAAAGATATTTAGAGAATTTAAGTACGTTAGACATTATTACACTGCTGTGAATCTCTTTTCTCAAGTAACTATAACGTTACCAAAGTAACCAAACTATGGTTCACTTTCAAATTTGAAACACAACAACGAAAAAAATACCTTAAGCCATTTAGAAAGATCAGATATGCATCTAAGATAATCAATCTGTAAAAAGTAATACACACAATGACATATATTTTCAAAATTTTACAAATTCCAAGATAACTTTTTTAAAAGTTTTTACTTTTTATTCACAAAAACAATCAATTTGAAGTTTAATTCTCACTTTGATTTAAACATCGTTTAAACAATTTACAAAGACTAACTTGTTAAGTCCAGCAAGTATCAAATCCAATAATTTTCTACTGTTCAATCCAGAACAAACAAAAGCAGTGAAGGAAGAGTTCATAACAAAAAAAAATCTACATGCTATGATCCTGGAATAAAGAAAGAAGTCAACAATAACTTCTTAGAATTAAGATGAGCTTCTAGCAGTGGATGTGCTATTCTAATCTAGGAAAGCTTCTAGCTATATATATATATGTATTCATCTTGTTGAACCTGACTGTAACTCATAGCAAATTACTAAAGTTCTAAAGTTAATATAATTACCAGAACAAACATTGATCCCTGCATCACGAACAAACTCAAGGGTTTTTAGTCGCTCATCATAACTCCTTGTTGTGATGATGTTTGGATAGTATTCCCTTGAAGTGTCAAGATTGTGGTTATAGGCAGTGAGACCCGCCTTCTTGAGTTCAACAGCCTGCTGTTTCTCCAGCATGCCAAGGGTGCAACAAACCTCCATCCCCATATCCCTAGAATAAGGCACATAGCCCAAGTGTTATCATTTTTACTTAAGAATTGAAGTATATTTCATTCAAAAGGCAATAAATAAACATTTAACATACTTTTCAGTCACCGCCAACCTATTTATTATGTACCATTTAACAAATAAAATTCATAGTACTCGATAATTCTGACAAAAATAAAATAATGCTGCATTACCTTATGTCTTTTACATATTCAAGGATCTGGTTGAAGTTTGTCTTTCTTCCTAGCGTGTCCCTCCACGCAGCACCCATACAAAAGCGAGTGCTACCAGCCTCTTTTGCCTACAAGAAAGGGATTCTCCATTCAATAAAAAGCATAGCACCACACAAGCTACAAGAAGCATGTTTTGCTTTTTTTTCTTTTGACAGAAACAAGATACGCGGTATTCAAATTAAGAAATGTTCACAATGAATATCAAACACTTGTACATTCCCTGGTGTCATTTGAGAACCAGATCCATGTAGTTTATCAGTTTGAGATGTCAATGATGACAACACAAGGATGAACTTCAAGCTAGAGAAAAAGATTACCTTCTTGGCAGCTTGGAGAACAGCTTCCTTGTCCATAAGGCGTTGACCTTTGACTCCTGTATCATATTTGGAAGATTGAGGACAATAGGAACAATCTTCACTGCAGCCTCCCGTTTTGATAGAGAGAAGAGTACACTGCTGCACTTCCCTGAAGTTATGAGCATGTCTGTGAACCTGAGCCTGAAAAATCACAAAAAAGAACCTTTTAGTAAAATTTCAACAACGTAAATGATTTCCAATAAAAATGTAAACTTTCCTAAATGGGTTACCTTATCCACTTAAAAAATGAATTTCGAGGAACCCGTTAACAATGCACAAAATAGGAACTGAAGAAAGAAATAAATGAATTAGGTACCCCGTGGAAGAGAAGATCAAGAACTGGAGAGTCGTAAATGGATTTGATTTCCTCTCGGCTCCAATCGTTTCTGGGTCCTTCTTTGATGGTTCTCTCAGCTTGAATTGCAGCTGCAGAAGAAGAAGAGGAATAGTGCAACGCCCAGAGAGAGGGTCTAGGTTGTGCTCGGAAAATGGGTCTCACCAAAAACATGATTTTGCTTAGGAATTAGAAAAGGGGCACTCTGAAATCTGAATATGAAGTATTGGAAGGGTAGATAAGATCTGCGAATGTTGACGCCTAAGTGAATTGTAGTAGCAGTGTTCGGCTTTTGCTGTTTTTGTATGGCTTCGTTCCGTTTTGCATTTGTTTTATTTGGCGGCCGAAATCCCCAAAAAAGTGATGACTCATTGGTTTTTTCTTCTCCCTACCAAACTATAGTACCAATGCATCGCAATCACCCATCTTTTATTACTTTTTTTTTGGGCTCTGATTAGGGTTAAATTAAAACAAATGCTAAAACAGGGTTTTGCAAAAATATTTTCACTATCTGAAGCGGCAATTATACGTGGCATAAGTGTTGTTTAAGTAGCTATCGACATTAAAATAAAAAATAATCTAAAATCTTTTGTCATCTCTCTTTCTCCTATCTATTTTTATATATTTTTTAAATTAAAAAATATTTATATATTTTTTATAAATTAAAATAAATAACTTATCAAAATTAAAAAATAAAATTTAATTTAATAATTATAAATAAAAAATAATTTTATTATTTTCTTTCTATTAAATTTATATTAAACATCAGATATAATAAAAGTTTATCGTACTCTTATTATATTCTATTATTATTTAACTCTTTTATAACTATCTAATTTTAAGTGAGTTATCGTTAATTATTTTGTATTAATTAGTTATTTAAACCAAGTATATAGTTAATAAAGATCAGTTGGTCAAAATTTTATGTAAGTTGCAAACTAACTAAAAGTAGAAAAAAAGGTATTACAAATTTATTAATCCTCATTTATATTTTTGAAAAAAATAAATATATAAATCTCAAACCTTATTCATTTGATTTAACTAATTTTGAAAAAAATTACTCATTTTATTTAAACATATTTATTTTTCCTTTAAAAATTATCTTGAAGAAGATGATAAGTACATCTACAATTATAATTTTATTCCATTGAATCAAATCAGTTATATAAATCACATGAGGAAATCAACAAAATGAAAATATCGCAAACATTCATTTGATCATAAAATAAAATTTGGACATATCAGATCTCTCCAACAATAGTGTGCATTCGGAAAGAGGGGTGCCCATCGAAATAATAATAATAATAATAGGAAAACAACACCTGTGTAAAGAGGAGGAGGTGATAGGTTTTCATTCTCTCTCTGATTGGATAAATTGGAGTGCATTCGATCGTTGAATTTCTCCCATTGCAGAGCCTTCAAATTTGTAATTGTAGGTTGTTTGGACTCGATCTGAAGTTGAGATCGATGAATATTATGATGCGATCTGATTAATGTTTGTGAGTGAAGTGCAGGAACAACGAACAACGAAGATGGTGCTGCCGCTCCTTGTTTTGCTTCTCTTTGCTTTCATTCCAAATGGATTATTGGCACTTCCTTCCACCGTCCCCGCATTCCTTTGGTCATCGCATTATCAGCTGTAATCTCTTTTCCTCTTCCTCCTATCTATCAATTAACGATTCCCATTTCCTTCCACAATTCATCTCGAATTCCCTTATTCTACGCTGTTTGATCGCGTCGATGTGGCTAATAGTAAACGACATTAGTTTAGATTTTAATTGAGTTATTACTAGGCTTATTAATAAATTATTTGGTGGAGATTTAAGATATGATAGGGTTAATCTGAATGCTAAAGGAACTGTGAATTTCGGTTTTGTAGGAAGATATATGAGTTAGGGTTTCTCTTGGGTTGTGGTGCCGGGGTTATTGAAATAAATCAGGGGAGAAATTGAAGTGTAGGAAAATCCACACTTCATCTTTTAGGTTTCCATTGGATTACATCCGCTTTTTGGTTTGTAGGCAGGATATGGGTTTTCTGGATTATTCGTGAAAGCTTTCTACTAGGGCTTTAAATTTGTGATTTTGAAGGTTTTATTTAGAGTGACAAGTGAAAACAGCAGATAAGCAGAAGATATGAACTGGTATAAAATGAAAAGTGAAAACTTAATTGTTGGTAAAATATGCAACACTGACACTGTTCTTGAGTATTCTCATTTCATGTTCACATTATGTAGTTCAGCAAATCAGAAATCATTTATATCTTACTGGTGCATTACAGGGGTTCAGACAATGAATTAAAGGAGTCTGTGAATTATCAGGTCATTTCTCCAAAAGATCTAGCAAAGTCTGTTTTATCTGAAGCCGGCTGGTCAAATTTTCTGGTATTATACTAATCTCCCTGACTTCTTGTACTCTGCAGTTCTTTCTGTCTCCCCTCAACTTCTATGGAGAAGGGGAATTCTTTTTCTCTTTCTCTTTATGTTAGCTTTGCTTCAATTTTTTCAATTTATTTATATTATTGTTGTTTCTTTAGTGTTTTTAATTTGTATTTATCTTGGATAGTGCAAAGGAAAGAACTATCAGGAGCCTCTAGATCTGGCACTTCTATTCATTGGTAAAGAGGTAATATCTTTCAAGCAGATATATACGTAGTGCTTGTTGCAGCTTTTGTTTTTATAGTTTACTTGATATTAGACATTCTTGTCAACTAGTGCAGCAGTATTAGTTGATTAAACTATGTTACATTTTTCTTTTGCAGTTACAATCTTCTGATTTAAGTCTGAACAAACATGCAGACTCAGCCCTTTTAGACATGCTTAAGGTGAGAGAAATTTGACATGCAGCCTGTCAAGTTTCCATGTTGAGTAAACATGATTTGAGATTTCTTAAGAAATTACTTTTACAATATTTGACTGTGCCACTGTTGCATTGTCATGAGCAGATCTCTTTCACCAGATCCAACACTTCTGTGGCATTTCCCTATGTTTCTGCATCAGAGGATGCAGACTTGGAAAATTTGTTGGTTTCAGGATTTGCTGAAGCCTGTGGAGATGATATGGGAATCAGTAATGTTGCTTTCCTTGGATCTTGCTCCATGGATGCTACACGTCATGATAAAAATGCAGCTTTGCACTCAGTTCAAGTAATCAACAAATTTATGTGACATGGTCCATTATCGAATTTTGGGTCATGGTGACCTGATGCTTTTTATTGCCCACTATAACTTGACAGGAGTATTTGACTAAGAGGATGGAAGACAGTCATGGAGGGAAAACAGATCTGGTTGTGTACTGCAATGGAGGTTCTCAAACTCTGAAAAATGCTGACAGCACACAATCTGAAGGTATATCTACCTGAGAATTATGAGCTTTGCTAGATATGATTTTATCATATTCTAAATGCTATGTTTTCTGTGTATTGGTAGGGGAAGTTTTATCCAATCTTATCAGTTCTGTGGAGGAATCTGGTGCAAAATATGCCGCTCTTTACGTGTCAGATCCCTCCAGGTCAATCCAGTATCCTTCTTACAGGGAACTGCAAAGGTTTCTAGCTGAAAGTTCAACAGGGAATGAATTGATCAATTTCCCATTTTGTGACTCAGTCTGCCAGATTAAGTCATCTCTTCTAGAGGGAGTTTTAGTGGTAAGCTTCTTTGTCCTTTTTCACAAGTGCAGTAGCTTGATGACTTGGAAGTTATCTTTTCTTCTTCTTTGTTTTCCTATTCCATTTTTTTCTTCCTTGTTGATGAATAAGTTCTATGGTACAACAATTATACTCTTGTTGGCCGGCTTGTGTAGATAGCTGTCTGTTTCTAACTTAATGCCTCCAGTTCTAACTTCTAACAATACAAGTATGATAATATCATCACATTCAGTTGCACACCCAGTAATATTTCAACATTCTCAGCATCCTTACTTGGTAGGTCTTAGTCATTTTTTTTTCATTCGCTACCCTACAAAATCTGCAATCAGTTTAAATTTTGTCTTATGTTAAAACTTCTTGCCAGTGTAATGTGGCAACTTTCCTTGTAGAACTGCTTTCCTTCACTCTAAGATGTGAAAATATGGTAAATAACACTGGTGTTTTTATCTTTTGCATATTTTACTTTTGTAGACCTTCTAAAATTTCTGGAGGCAATTAATGTTGAGGATTTATGTGCTTGTATTGCATCAACCGAAACAAATTATATATCTTGTTTAGAAAACTCTTTGCTTGAACTCTTAGAATACTTAGAGATTATAATATTATCTATATTACCTAAACACCTTCCATTAATACTTGATCTTTACCTTTACGCTTTTTCTTTCTTGACTTGCATATACCTCACTTTGGATAAGTTTCTAGATAAGTATTCATAGAAGAAGAAAATCAATATGAAAAATAAATAAAACATTTCTCATAAGTTAAAAACAACTTATACTCTTCAAGTTTTAGAGAAGTTAAACAAGAGAGTTTCTGAAAAATTAGATAAACATAAGTTGATTTTAACTTATGTTAGGAGTATGATTTATTTTACTACTTTATTTTTTACTCTTGTAAGTACTTATTGAGAAATTTATCTAAACTAGGTGTTTGTCCTGGCTTCTACCAAATTCTTGTCTTTGCCTGTGTTTGGAATGTTGTTTTTGATACTACGGGTTTCTAGGTTTCAGTAGCATAGAGAACAAAGTTATAATTTGGAACTTCGGAAGAGGATCTTTTATTATTGTGACTAGGCTTCAGTAAACCAGATATTAAATGGAAAGCTGATCTTAAATGGGGAGCTTGAGTATCTAATAAGCCATAAATCCAGCTTAGCATGGTAGTAAGTGGCTAAGATTTGCTTTTGAGCTTAACTAGAACATGAAATGTTTGTCGTTTATTTCCTTCTCTACATGGTCTTGTGTTTCATACCAGAAAGTATATGTCTATCGTTAGTCTTATTAGTTAGTTTTGTTTGCAGGTTTATCTTTTCTTTAATTCTTTCTTCTTGCGTTTCTTTTCTTTTTTTCCCCAACCATTGATTTTATCATGAATCCAAGCTATGTATAACCAGGCAACCTCTATTAGGTAGGTAGGCAGAGGCATCAAGGGACTATTAGGGGAGCGTGAGAGTATGTAATCTTGATTCTTGACCATTCAATCTTACATGGATGATTAAGACTTAGTTTGCTTAGGCTTAATCTTAACTGTCCATACTAGATTGCGTGGTCAAAATTAACTCCTCTCATCTTTCATGCTTTCACTTGATACGCCCGAGACAGCAATAATGGCTTTTCATCAATATTTGCATATATATCTTGTATTTGGCTTTGAGTGGGTCATTTAGATTAGGTGGCTGTCTTGTGTGATTTCTCTTCCTGTTTGACTGCTGATAGAGATTGCTTGATGAAATTTATGGTGTTCTAATAGAGATTGCTTTCTGTGATAAACCAGGGCATAGTTTTGCTAATAATTTTGATATCGGGCCTTTGCTGTATGATGGGAATTGACACCCCAACCAGATTTGAGACACCACAAGAGTCATGATCCGTTTGTTGAAGCTAATAATTATTGTGATGCTGGGTCTACTGGATTGAAATATTACTGCTATATTATTTGCGCATTTTACGGAGGCTCTGATTAATCCTGTAGTTGTTTGTTGTCTTATCTCAGAGACTTATCATATTGAAATTTTAAATAATTTGTACCAGTATATAAAAATAAAACTTCAATTTTAGGCTTTAATTTTGATCCCGCTAGTTGTAAAATTTGATGAAGAAATTTCAGATTATGAATGTTTTATTTTTTATAACTGTCTACAACTTATGGTCTATTCATTTTGCATAACTGCCGATCGATGCAGTTCAAGTTTATTTTTGCTGGCTGGGATTTCTCTTTCCCTTATTATATGCGAAGAGGCCCACCACAGAGTTATATAATACTCTATGGAAATCCTATACTTTTTCAAAAAATAAAATAAAGTCCTATACATAATAATACATTTCAAGGAATATACTCTCGTTACATGACATATTCCACAGAAAGGTCAATCAACACTGTCATAATCTGATGGCATAAGTAAAATTTTTGTCACCTAAAAATATTATGATTGATGTTTTATTTAATCTATTTTTTCAAATAATTTTTTTAAAATATTTTTAGTCTTTTAATTAGTAATTTGTTACTTATTTTTACTATTTACTTATGTAATATTTAATTTGGTTTATATAATATGACAAAGTTGATGTGCATGATAATGTAATCTTTGTACTTTTATTTTATTTTTGTATTTTTAAATTTAAATTTCAAAAAGCATAATTTATAGTTGACAATTTCATTTAGAAATACAAAGATGTGATCATAATAACGTGTCTTATTTATGTTATGTTTCAATTAAATTGAGTCAATTTAAATATTATATAAATAAATAATAAATTAAGTTAATAAATTATTAATAGAAAGATGAGGTGAAAATAAAAAAAAAATTGAAGGATTAGATTGAATAATAATAATAATAATGATGAAAAGATTAAATAAAAAAACTATGAATTTTAAAAGATTGAAACTTTATTGAAGCCTAATCTAAATTATTCATGAACGGAGTTTCGAAACTTTTTTTTTTATTAATGTGTCTGATTCGTTTACCATAAATTTACGTTGGGAGTGACAAAAAAAGTTAGTGCCAAAATTTTTTAACAAAATTTACTTGTTTTAGTTTTTTCTTCAAATGAAAAATAACATTTATTTTAAAATTAATTACTCTTTTTTTTTTTGCTAAGAAAGGAGGCAAAAAGCCCAAGAAACAAAGTAAACTACAGGGTGGATCTAGAGGTCCAACCACCACACCAATCTAAACAAAGAAAGGGAAGTAAATCACTAGGAGCTTCCTTAAAACTAAAAAAGGAGGAAAGAGATTCAAGACCAGATTTAGCCAATTTGTCTGCATAATGGTTGGCTTCTCTAAAAACATAACCCAATCTAATAGTCTTAATAAGGCTAATACTATCCCTAATTTTACATATGACTTGAAAAAAAGGGTGAGAAGAGCTCTGAACTTGTTGGATAGATTGCAGAGCTTCACGGGAATCAATTTCCAACCAACATAAGTTATGATCAGTATATTGCAAAAATACTTGAAGACCATTATAGATGCCCCAAAGTTCAGCTTCAAGAAGAGTGCAAGGGGGTAAGGAACAATAGAAACCAACCACAAAATTCTCATTCCAGTCTTTGAGAAGGCCACCACATGTAGCAGTTTGAGAATTAAAAGACACAGCTCCATCTGTGTTTAATTTGAACTGACCCCTTTGGAGGAGGAATCCAGCGGATCCTAGCCTGGTCCATGGCACATCTAGGAAAGGAAAAGTGAGGGTTCCTGCAATACAAGACAGCATACTCAGTATCACACACTATTTGCCAAACCATAGAGTGAGTAAAAACAGAAGAATTCTGAAAAATAAAAGCATTTCTGGCTTTCCATAAATGCCAAGTAATAAAACTAAAAAGCTGCTGCCAATTTGAGAATTTACTCAAAGAAGGATTAGAAAGATTTGTATATACCCAATCAGATAATCCAGCAGAGAAAAACCAAGACCATTGATCAGAAAAAATAAAGTAATTCCACACTCATTTAGCATAAAACAGTCACGCAATACATGGATTATAGATTCATCAACAACCCCACACCTAGGACAAGCAGCTATAGATGTTATTCCCCTTTTAACTCTTTCTGCATTAGTAAGCAACTTACCATGAGATATTTTTTAAAGGAAAAAAACCACTTTGGGAGGGCCTTTCCAATTCCAAACAGGGCCAAACACAGCAGGAGAGGGGATGGGGAGATGACAGTCTTGGAAAATTAATTGATATGCAGTTTTAATGGAAAAAACTCTATTATTGGATAAAGCCCAAGATGTTGAATCAAGACTGGCCAATAAATTAGGAGGAGTAATCTTAGCAATTTCTTCACAAACATGAATAGGAAGAAGAGACTTAAGTTTAAACTAGTCCCAAGAAATAACCGTGGAGAGACTTCCAGCTGTTTGATAAACTCAATGAGCTTCTTTTCATGTTCTTGATTGCCTTGATGTGCAGAATATTGTGTACTCTTGCTATACTTTGGCTGCTGTACTCTTGGATATATAGTGATGTAGTATCCATACTTCAATTGCTTAGGAAATGGTTTCAACTCAAATGTAGGAGGCAACGTTAGAGAAGGAAGCAATGTAAAAATTGGAGCTGAATCTGCAATAGATGCATCATGATTTACTTTTTCAGAATCTGCAATAGCTGCATCAAAATCACCATAAATATACATATCAATCTCAACACAGATGCTACATTTTGTAGAATTATTACATGCATCGCAAGTAAAAGAATTAGGATTATTGGCTAAGTTAGGATAATTAATACAATCTGAAAAGTCAGAAAACTCAGCCAAATTATAATTGACTACATCATTCAACAAATTATCATGTAAAACCAAATGAAATGGAAGAGGAACAGGTTGCTCAAAATTTTCTGCTACATTGGTAGAAGTGGCATGAGCAGTAGGAGCAAATTCTACACTTGCTGAGCTGCAATCACTTGCTGGAGCAGTAACATTAAGATCTTCATCTGTTGGTTGCTGCTCTTGCGGGTCTTGAATGGTCTTTCTTAAACTCAAAGTAACATTTTCTGGATCAGCAACTGGTTGTGCAGAAAGATTACCAGGACCTTGAGTTTGCAATTGATTCAAAGTGGAAGCCAACTGTCCAATCTGATTTTCCAAGTTTTGAATGGATACTTTTGTTCTTAGCTGGAAATTCAAATCGTTAATTGCCATTTCTCTCATCAACTCTTCCAAGGAAGGCTCATTCTTGGAAGGTGCAGCAGTTTGTGGTGGGGGTTGATATTGTTGCTGTGTAAAATTACCCCATCTCAAGTTTGAATTATTCATCCAACCTGCAGGCTTATGTAATGTAAGACAAAAATCAGTATGATGTTCAAGTGAAGTACAAATTTCACACAACATTAGCCATTTGTGACAATGTCAACTACTCAATCAAAGAAGCTAAATCATCTAGCTTGTTCTCTAGTCTTCTATGATCAGCCATATAAAAAGTTCTCTGAGCCATAATATCTAAATAAGAATGAAAAGAAATAAGTTTTTTTTTTTTCAAAAACCACCAACCGGCCTTTGGCCTGTTGCCATTGCGTAGATCTCGTTGAGCTATATGAAATACATATATTACAATAAGAAATCGGAGCTGTATGCAAAAAGTTATGTCACTTTTAAGTTTGGACAGAAATCTACACGTTCAGATACACACCCGTGTAGTTTTCAAAAATTGTTGGGCAGAGATCTACATGGTCATGTACATGGCCATGTACTTGACCGTGTACATCTCTGTGTGAGAGTTTTTTTTTTTTTTTTTGGGAATTTTTGGGCAGTGATTTACACGATCATATACATGGCCGTGTACTTTTTCGACGAATGCAGAATGCAAAAATGTAGAAACACAACACAGAATGTAGAGAATTGAATGATGTAATACTAAGCAAGAATAGATGACTACCTATTATGCTATTCAAAGGCTACTAAAACAGAATGCATAGACACAATTATGCTAAATGAAAAATGCTAATTATGCAGAATCCTAATTCGATGAAAAACGCTAATTATGCATAATCCTAATTAGATGTAAAACACAACACAGAATATGCAATAAAATCAAATTAACACATAATGATATAATCAAATAACATCATCATCCCTGGCAACGGCGCCAAAATTTGATTGCGAGTGTCGCTCTCGGACAAATTAATAAAAACTGAATTGCATAAAAATTATGTAGTAAGAGGTGCAATCCGAGTCGTCTCCCAACGATAATAACGTTATACGATTATAAAATTTTTAGAGGGGGTTTGATTTATAGAATAACTAATTAGAATCAAAAGTTAAAAATAATTAAAAACTCTAATCCAAGAATTTAGAAGAACTACGACCACTCTATCACCGGATTCCAAGAAGATGCATCAAACAACAAATTAGTGATTAACATTAAATTCGAATGAAACCTCAATTCAAATTAAGCATTCACACGAGAACCCTCATGCATTCGATTAACATACAATTCGCTCAAAGTTCAGAAACCTCTAGAACCTAATCGATTTGTGTTAATTTAATTCACCAATGCCATTAATCTTAGATCTCAAACCTGAAAATCTAATTCATGTTCCTTAAAACTGAATTACATACATCAATCGAATAATACGTAATCAACCAGATGCATAATCATCAATCCAAATGAATAACTTCAATTCAAAAATGTAATTAGCAAAACGAGAAAATAAGGAAGAGATGAAACTGAATTTGTTATTGAATTTATGCCAATGTGAGACCAATTCTCAAGAGTGTCACGTCCCTTTTAATTCTTGAATGAGATGGAAATCTAAGCCTACATTAATGGAGGAAAACAATAAGTCATAAAGGTTAAAGGGGTTGTGAGAGAGAGAGAGAAGAGAAGAGAAGAGAAGAGCTAAAAAATTAAATTCAAAATTCAAAATTTCATTCGTCACTTTGTTCCATTTTTTCGGCTATGAAAACGGCCTCTTTTTTGGTTCTTGGTCTGAAGGACAATTGTAGCCTTGGATGTCAGCTTCAAAACGCCACTGGAATGGACTTAATCGGACGTCTGTGGACTGAGATATGGCCCAAATACTGCACCTTGCTCAGGATCTGTGACTACAACGTTCTGACTTTTTTCAGGCCCAGTTTCAGCTTCTTATCATCATAATTGGTTTCTGACCTCTCATAGGAATTGT